TTAGATAAGAAAAGGAAAGAAAACATGAGGAGAGACGGTATAAAAAAGATCTCTCACACCGTGTCCTAGACAGGGCACAATTTGAGGCATCAAAAAAACCTTCCACAGCAAAGCAACATAAACAGACGTTATACATGAACATATAGGTGGTGACAAACTGACCACCAGTATTTGGTTGCTCCAGCTCCGGTTTTTATAAACACTTGAATTCTTTTGAGGCGTGGACCAACTCATGACGAACAACTCATCATCAGTCTGCTCCAACTGTCTCCTGTTGCTGGTCCCAGATCAGCCCTGCAGGTTGAAGCCTGTTACTGACCAGTTCCTTCAGAGGATTCACACCGGACATGATCTGGACTGTGCGCAGGCCGTGTTGTGGATCTTGACGTCTTTCTTGAAGAATGGTTTTCATGTTCTTTGTCCTGTGGAGTCCTCTTCATCAAACATGCTTTCAAATGATGGAATAGTTTAAAATTACAAAGCAGACTTTGTGTTTTATTAAAAATGTATGTCTTTACCTGACACCTTCACCAAGTCCCACTTATTTGTTTTGTTCATTTTCTATTTCCAAGACATTTTATGATGAGCTTTCAATCCTTTGATGTCTGTTGATCTACCGGGACACTTCTGTTTTGCAGCCGCCCCGTTTTCTTTGCACTTGGTCCAGATTTCAGACAGATTGGGAACAACCATCTTTTGCACTGTTCTGTGAAAATGTACTTTCTTAAAGAAGTTTAATTTCCTCGCACTTGGTCCAACTGGCGTCCCTCGTGTGTGTGAGCGCTCTTTAACTGCAGACTAAAAAGCAGATGTACCTGGACGCAGGTGTTTGTTTTCAGCTGCAGAATTACTGAGCGATCCGTTCCTTTTTGTGATGCCACAGATGTTCCCCTTGATCTATAAAAAGCAACGGTGACTCTCTAAAAACACGTTTTTTTTTATTGTTTCTTAATTGCTGAAGGTTAGAATTTTGTAAAATGATCATTTTATAAAATTAACCAACTGAAAGAGCGTCCTCCCTGAGTGGTGGTTCATCAGTTTTGTGAGGCGTTGTGGTCCACGAGTCTCTTCTGGATCTGCCTCCAGTGCAATAAAAATAAACTCACCCGGCCGTTACGCTCGATGGGTGGGGGAGATTTTCCTTCTGTCTTGAGTTTTGGTGGCAGTTAACTGCAAAAGTCACATTTATCTTTTCTTTCCTGCTGGTCTCTAAACATGGAGTTGGACCAGTACCTCATGAGGTTCTGGGATCAGGTTTGGCTGTGTGCAGGATCTTGTGAAGCTCATCCCAGTAAGTCAGCAGGACGACAGTGGAGGGTTAGACCGGGTGAGCTGCAGGGAAGGGAGTGGGGGGTGTTCAGGTTCAGTTTTTGCTCTTGCAGATCCAAACTATGAGTTTATATCAGCGTAACTGAAACCCGTTCGCCTCGAGACGTTCTGAGTTGCTGAGCAGGATCCGAGAGTCGACTCCAGAGGAAAAAGGGATCTAAAACGAGCTCCTTTCATTTATGCATCGGTACATTTCCCGGTCCTGTGGGAGGATTCTGTGATCTCAGCAGGGAAGGCCAGAGCCTAATTGACCTTCATGCTGGATCGACTGCAGCGAGTGGATCAGAACTGTCGAGCAGGACGTGGTAGTGGTTGCTACTATTCAGCTAAAGGAGTAAATTAGGTCAATCACTGCTGAGTTCTTAGACCACCAACCAGTTGTGGAACAAAAAAAGCGCTGCCGGGGGGTTCGGTTAGCTGTGCCTTCTCAGTAATTTCAGAGGAATGAAAAATCTGCTTGAAGAACACTTTTGTTGGATTTTGTTCTGGCTCCAAATGGAGAACAGAGCTCAGCCGGCATGCAGAGAAGAGTGTTGCTCACATTTAGGTCTCCGACGCTTCACAGCGGAATCACAGCAGGAGGGGCTCGTCACAGAAGACTTGCAGCCATCTTTAGAGCAGAGAGGATGCAGTGAAACCAGGAAAATCCTCCAGACTCGCATAAAACAAACAACGAAAGGACCAGAAACCCAGGAGCTGCCTTCAGCGTACAACAGCAAAACGCACCCATCGAAGACGTTGAAGAATTTGTCATTCAGTGTTGGTCAGATTATTGACAGTCCCACTCATCCCTATCCAAAATGTTTTGGCAAATCGTTTCTTCTAGATCTTTTCATCATAAACGTGCCACATAAATACACTGGGTTAGGTGTTTTTACAAATGATCTAAGTGACCAATATGTAGTTGGTGCTGTTAGGGATACTAAAATGCCCCATTCCAAACCTAGAATGATCCTAAAATGGAGCATGAAGCATTTTAATGAACAAACCTTTCTTTGGGATCTGTTCCATTTTGAATGGTATCGTATTTCATTAATATACAAGGTGAACCTTGCTTAGAACCATTTTCACAATAGTTTCATTCACTTTGTAAATAAACATGCTCCATTTTTCCAGTTTAGAATAAAGGGTTTACTTCTGAGTTAGCTGAGCTCCTGCACAGGAGGGACCAGCTTTGGGCAACAGCAAGACAGTCTGTTTCAGATTATGGAATCACTCTACAGCTTCCAATAAAGCGGCAAAAGAAAATTACTATTTATTTCATACCACCAAAAATCTGATTGACCCTAAAACTTCTGGAAAACCATTAAATCTCTTTCTGGCAGCTCTCACTCATCTGATCTGCCACCACAGTTATTTGATGATTCTGCTCCTGTCAGATAAGCATGAGATGCTAAATTATTTCAACAACTTGTTGCCTCCAGTTTCTTGTTTGATACAGTTTCTGAAGGTAAATCACCTACTTCTCCTACAAGTCAAACCCATTTGATAATAGAAACATCAAATGGTTTCTTGATTTTAGCTTTAACTGTTTTTTATAACACCACTTTTGTTTTTAATTGCTTTTTGTTGAATAGTTGTCTGTACTTTATCTAATGAAAATGAGACCTTGTGACTCAGTGAGACTAACCTGTATAAATAAAGGTTGAATGAAAAAACAAAAATTGAACCTGCAGCACCACCTTCTGTGCAGCGTCTCACTGTTGTTCCCACAATCATCCATCCATCACCTCCAAACTTCATCCAGTCATCTTCTCAATCATCTTCATCCTGTTTCATCATCTCGTCCAAATTTCTGAAGAAGCTAAAACTATAGCTAAAAGAAGCTAAACAGCAGCTAAAAAAATACTGACTTAAAGTTTAAAGAAGCAGAATGCTAGTTAAAAAGCAAAGTAGCAACATGCTAGTTATAAACAAAAAGTAGCAAAACATTAAACAATAGTTAAGTAGAATAGCTAACTAATACCAAAAGTTATAGGTAACAATAGCTAAATTTAGCAAAATGTCAGCTAAAAGCTACAAATGATGTGCTAAAAATAGCAAAAGACTAGTTAGAAGGTAATAGCAAAGTAATTCCCAAAAGTATTAAAAGGGTAAAGATAAAATTAGCAAAATGCTAGCTACAAAGGTAAAAGATTAGCAAGAAACTAACGTAAATATAGCAAGACTAGCTAAAAACTAAAAGTAGCAAAAAGCTGGTTGAATGCAGAAAAAAGCTAGGTAAACAATATACGTATATATGGGCTAACTAAAATCTAAAAGTAAGGCAATGCTAGCCACAAGTACAAAAAGACAAGCTAAAATTGAAAAGCTGAAAAAGCTAAAAGTAAGACAAGAAGACAAAGAGTTTTCTGAAGAGCTCTTCATGTAACTGTCACAGTGAAAACATTTGTAAATGAAGTTAAACATTTGCAAAAGTACAAACGCGATTAAAGCAGAAGTTACAGCTTCCTCCAGCATCTCCTGGTTGTGTGAAGGTTTTCATTTATGAACAGCTAAAATATCACAAATTCAAAAATACTTTATTGATCCCAGAGGGAAATTATTTGTTGTTGTAACTCGTTATCCTCATTTCATTAAGAGATGTTATAGACGCTGATGGCTGTAGACAGGAAGGATCTCTTGTAAAGGTCCATCCCACAGTGGATCCTAACAAACTGGCTGCAGATGCCGTCCGATCCGTCCACCCAGACTCGGCTGGCCTCTTGGTTCCCCTGGACTGTAGGACCGCCCGAATGCTGGACAGAACTCCTCCCAGCATTCTGCCGAGCTCCTCGTCGCTGTGGACAGCCAACTGTAGGTGCAGAGGGACGATCCTGTCCTTCTACTGTCCTGAGCCATGTTTCCTGCTAGTTCCAGGATCTCAGTGGTCAGGCACTCGAGCACAGCTGGCAGGTAGATGAGAATGCATCCACAGAACATCCTTTTCAACTCATTTGATATTTGTGTCTGTAGTTAAGATATTATTTGAGCTTTTGAGATGTTAATCAGCTGCTGTTGGTTGTAGAAAACTGCCTTGTTGCCATGGTTACGCATCATAACAAATGTCCAAAACTAAAAAAGTTTCAGTAAAAATCCTTCCAGCTGCACAGCATCTGATACCAGAGGAAACAATCGTCCAAAAAAAAAATGTGATTTATATCCAGAAAAAGAGGAATTAAAAGTTTCCAAAAGCAAAACCTCAAAATGAAAGTAACAGCTGCTCCAACATGCAGACACCTGGAGTGGCGCAGTTCTAGAACACGACAGGAAGTGTTGTGCGGAACGGATATAGAAAAAAAACTGCAGCTGTGAGGAGGATCAGAACCCATGTGGAACAAGTTAGAACCACTTAAACGCCACGTTAGATCCTCGCCCTGCGGCCCGAGGGTTTCTTGGCTCTAATTTAAACTGCCCTACTTCCTGTCACGCCTCAGGGCTTCAGGCAATCAGAGCGAGCGGGGCTCGTCGTCAACGCTCGCTTCTAACTTTGCTCCGAGGACTTTCTGGAAAGGTTTTATTAAAAGGAAGAAAATGAAAACTCCGCTCCGAGAATGTGATGCAGTTGCTCAACATGGTGACTAAATAAACAAACGTCAGATATGATTATTTATTGAGACGTCAAGGCAGAATTGATCTTAGCATTTAAAGAACAGTGTGACACTTTAAAGCATTGGATCTCAAAGTTGGAGTGGGAGTGGGAGTCCTGCTGTGGGCCATGAAACATCAAACGGGGAGCGGCTTCGGATGTTGTCAGTCCATTAAACGGTCGTTATTAGTTGTCACCATCCCCATATGTAGCGGTCAGACTGTCCCATCTACCTCCTAGTAGGTTTAAAGGTACGTTATTATCGTTATTATTGCTGATAATAGGCAGCATCGCATGGGGGTAAACCAGGAAGTGGTTTTTTTTCCAGCTTATGTAAGCTTACACGTGACCCAGAGGACCAACCCTAAACTCAACCCCCTTACCCTTGTGCCTAAACCTAACCAAGACCACAAACCTAACTGCCAGACCCTTTACTGTAAACCTAACCACGTGAAGCTATTCTGAGCGCTAACAACGTAGCTTTAAACACACTAGCAGGTACAGGAGGGGCAGTCTGACCGCTACATATGGAGATAACAACAACTAATAACGGCCATTTAATGGCCGATAACATTCGAAGCGGGTAAAACGGGGGTTTAAGATGATCTTTAGGAATCAAAATGAATCTAAAACATGATTCCTTATTGTGAATTTTACCATAGTTAAGGTATAAATGTCCCAGCTGAATAAAAACGGTCTAATGGGTTACTGTTTGTGTTGTCATCATGCCCTCGTTTAGGACAGGGGGGTTCCCTGGCTCTGAGATGATAGATGGGGTCACAAACCTTCAGCTGCTCAGGGTCAAAAGTTGCTTCAGGCAGGCGATGGTGTCTATTTACTGAAGCTAATGAGAAAGACTTTATATTTACCGTCCCGATTCATTTCTGTCAGATTTATTTCAACACTTCCTGTCGTCGATCTGCTCTGTTGAGATTAGAAACCTCGCCCGCCGGTCTCGTCATCTCCTGCATCGCGTTTCGCCGGTCGGCGTCTTCTCACAGAGACTCCGAGGCACATTTCATTCACACACAGTGATCTTTAAAAAAAAAAGTTTAGAACATCGCAAACTTATGAAACAGATCTCCTGACGTTCAGTTTAAATCTGAGCTCAGAAGCGGAGGATAATTTCCCCGACACAAACTCAGAATGTGCTCCGGCTCCTTGGTAACACTCAGAACGTGGACAGGAGCGCTGAGAGGGTGCTCCTCCTCAGCCTGCTTCAGTCCAACATCCTGCACGAACCGGAGTTCAGCTTTCAAACCTCCTCAGCCTCCACGATCTGAGCTCCTCGGCGCTGGGATACGGAGACGGGTAACCATGAGGAGGTGGAACTCCTTCCCAATAGGTTTGTCCTAGGAAGCAAAACGCCATCAGCTGCAGGTTCAGGGGTTCTTCAGAAAACGGTAAAATGCCGCGCTACAGCTGCTTCTCTCCGTCTCACCTCTGTCGTTCAGACTGTTTCTAATGGCTTCCTGCAGCTGCTCCTCCTCCGACAGCCAGCCTGTGTAAGAATCACGTCTTCTGTAGTTCGATGCATACCGACCACTTCCCGAGTATCCTCTTCTACCGCTACGGTAACCTGCACAAACACAGAAAGGAAACGACCATCACGCTGCTGCTTCACATTCACAAACCTGTGAATATGCTATGGAGATAACTTCGTTGCAAAACTAGACGCACAAGATTCACAAATGCACAAACTGTTTTTCAAAATGTGCACAAATAGCTCAAGCGAGATTATTTCGCACATACAAACTGTCAAACCCACGTGCACTAATCACCTGCTGCGCACGGACCAGTTCTTACCTGCAGCTGCACGAAGATGATGCTGCGTTCAAGGCTGCCTAAAAGCTGGGACATCTGAGATCTACTGAGTTCTTGGAGAAGACGTTTATAACTTCAACTCATGAAATCAACATCAAACACATGCGCTCACAATAAAGTTACTGGGTTCCAAACATGTTCGTTTTGTGGACTGCACGGTTAAGATAAATGAAATGATAAATGTTGTGTTCTAGAATTGCGTCACTCGGGGTGGCTGCATGTTGGAGCAGATGTTACGTTCATTTTGAGTTATTGCTTTTGAAAACTTTAATTCCTCTTCTTTCTGGATGTAAATCACTCTTTTCGGTTCGATTTCTCCCTCTGGTATCAGATGCTGTGCAGCTGGAAGGATTTTTACTGAAACCTTTTGAATTTTGGGCGTTTGTAATGATGCGTAACCATGGCAACAAGGTGTTTTTAACAACCTGGAGCAGCATGTTAACATCTCAAAAGCTCAAATACAGCCACAAATCCCAAATGAGTTGAAAAGGAGGCGACGTGGACAAATTCCCGTCAACCTGGTGGCAGTGCTCGAGTGCCTGGCCGCCGAGATCCTGGAACTGGTGGGAGGCTCGGCTTGTGATGGCGGGAGGACCACTGTGGACCGGGGTCATCCCCCAGCACCTTCAGCTGTCTGTCCGTGGCAACAAGGAGCTCTGCAGACTGCTGGGAGGAGTGACCATCGCTTAGGGAGGAATTCTGATCGGCATCAGGGCAGTCCTGCTGCCCAGGAGGACAGATCCATATCTGTGGCCAGATTCTTCGAATTAGCTGCAGGAGATCCTTCCTGCCCACAGCTACCAGCATCTGTAAGAACTCTTGAATGAAACCAGGACGATGAGCTACGACAACACTTAGTTTCTCATTGGGATTAATAAAGTATTTTTTAATTGAATTGAAACAACCTAAATTGAGCAGATTATTCTTCATGTGGAAGATCTATCAGGAAAAATATATTTTTCTGGTACTTTTTCCCACAAAATGAATAATCTGCCCATTTTGAGTAGTTAATTTCAGATGTACAGTCCACACACACACATACACACACACACACACACGCACTATATTTTTCCGGCAGGTCCTCCCCCATGAAGGAAATGCTAACTTTGTGGACTGTACAGGTGGATATAGTTGTTGTGAGTTTGGTTTAGTTACAAACGTCTTTTCAATAACTCGGTAGATCTGGTGAGGCTCAGATGTCCCAGCTTTTCACCAGCCTTGAACGCAGCATCATCTGTGACTCTGGAGGTAAGAAAGCCTCAAGTCACATTCACAGGCAGCTGGTCCGTGCGCAGCAGGTAATTCGTGCACGTGTATTTGACAATTTGCACGCAGAGAAAACTCCTCGTTGTGCATTTTGAAACGCGTGCATGTGAAAACCTGTTGATGCATTTGTGATACTTGAGGTACGTCTGTGGGTTTTATCGTGCACGTACAAATCTTGTGGAACGTTGTGCGACTATTTTTTAGACTCATTTATCTCCGTAATATTCTGTATTCTTGCATCGACCCAGTTTATGACATTAAATTAAAGAAGTGCCTCAGAGTGACGCACTGCAGATCACAGGAAGACGAGATTGTTCTTGTTAAACCTTCTGTGAATCCAAACTGACGTCTGGTTCAGTCACAGCTGTGAGGTTTCCTACGGCTCGTGCACCGTGCTCACTGCAGATGAAAACTGACCTGAAGAGCCAAGGTACCAGTTATTCCTGGTGGAGGTGGCGTACTCTGGAGAAAAGACAGACAAACAGAATATTTCAGCACAAACGTGTTGCTTGTTTACACGTTTGTCAGCAGATTCGTTTGGTTTGAACCCACTCGTATAAAAATCACACTAAATGTTTTTAATTTTAGAAAAAGTAACCGTTTGATGTTTAACAGAGTTTCAAGAGCTTCAAATTGTTTTTCAAAAATGCAAATAAAGACCTGCGCATATCTTCATGACGGTCTTCAGCGGTCCGGATGTGTAGAGCAGCCCCACCAGGATTCCTGCCAGGTGACCAACGAAAGAGGTCCTGCAGCAGCAGAGAACAGAGATCTGACCAACACCCTCACCTGGTGGACACTACGGTTCACAGCAGCACCCCCAGCTGTCTCTCACTGAGCGCAGAGCGATGGAGGCTACGTGGAGATTAGACGGAGAGGAAATGGGCTCATTTTTATTTGAGTGTCTTCTAGTTTTTAATATTTGCATCAAAGGGACCAGTGAACTGCGTCGCAGACTAAATGTGGAAATCCAGCTCGATGTTTGCGTCATCACGGTCAAGTGCAAGTCATTAGATTTAAGTCAGACAGGTTTCCTTCCTTTGTCTACAGCAGTCTGAGATGAACTTTGCTGAATTGATGCCACGTGAATTAGCGGCGTTTAAAATAATTAACCAAAGAAACGCATCATGGAGGAGAAGCGAGGGTAAGAAGTGTCTTAAAGTAAAGGCACGAAAGAAAAACCATGGCCACGTGTTTTGGTTTCACATCTGGGAAAATATTAAATGTGGACTAACTGACACAAGGAGAGTTATGAAAGTTTATGTTTTTAAGTACCTGAGGAGGTCAGTGGTTTTAGAAGACCCAACAATCAGATGAGATACGTGACCGCAACAAACTCCTGCTTCAACGTTAACATCTGCTCCTGACCAGGACATTCTGCCGCTCTTTGGCTTCAGCAAAGATTAAACGTTGCTTCCACAATGAAACGAACCAGTGTTGCCAGATCTCGCGATGGAAACAAGCAACCAGCTCCATGAAAACAAGCCCAACTGGCAACCCACCATATTGTGTAAAACAGAGGCCATTTTTAAACAGTATAAACAAAACAACAAAGTCCATGCTCAATAATCCAGGTATACAATCCAACATTTTTCAGTCAGGTCATCTGGACAGTTTCACCTTGGATCCAGAAGGCTTCATTCAACCTTTATTTAGACAGGTAAGTCCCACTGAGCCTCGAGGACTCATTTACAAGAGAGACCTGATACGAACATCCACCTGGAC